TCCCTCCCTCCTTCCCTCCCTCCCTCCCCCTCCCTCCATCCCTCTCACCATGTAGGCTTTGTTTCTTGCTCTCAATAAGCCAGTCCATTTTGAATCCATTCTCCTCAGCATAGCCTACTCTCCTAGTCAGGACAAACTGTGAATCAGGTTTGATCAGTGAGGCATAAATAGAAGGACCACCGTGCCTCTGCCCCGTCAGGCTGCAGATCTGCTCACTGTCCCCACTCCGCAACCTGATGTGCCTCCCCTTCCCTGAAGCTTAGAACAAGCATGCTAGGAGACCCCATGTCCTCATCTGTAAAGTAGGACAGTAGTGACACCAGCCTTACAGGGTTGTTAGTAAAGCCTGGTGACTAGGAAGTATAAAATACGCAGCATCGAGAATGTAGCAGTTAGTATTAAATGGCGGTTTCCTTTAGATGCAGGGTGTGTGTGTGTGTTCACGCGCGTGTGCGCGTACAGAGGTCAGAAAGAACAGGGTATCTTCCTCTACTGTTCTCCACCTTATCGTTTGGGACAAAGTCTCTCAACGAACCTGAAGCTTGGTTCACGGCAGCATGGCAGGTGCCACCATCTTCGGGCTGATTATAATAGGGAAACGTCGCTTGGTGTGACCTTTAAAACGCCAGTCTGATTTTTTTTCCCACCTCACAACCTTTCTAGCTGCCCTGGCCCTAACCTGAGTGCAGGAATCCTTCTGTGTCCCACTAAAACTCTCATTTACCATCGTGGTTGTAGCTGTCAACTTGAGTAGCATGGCCTATGGCCTTTGCAATAATGGAGGCTGTCAACCTAGCCACACCCTGATAGGCGGTGACTAGATGAGCCTTACCATCGAGTATTCACGCCTCCCCCACCCCCATCAAGCTTTTGTATGGGATTTTTTGTTTTCTTTTGTTTTGTTGGGTTTTTTTTGTTGTTTTGGTTTTTTGCTTTTTGAGACTAAGTTTCTCTGTATAGTCCTGGCTGTCCTGAAACTCACTCTGTAGACCTGGCTGGCCTCAAACTCAGAAATCCGCCTGCCTCTGTCTCCCAAGTGCTGGAATTAAAGGCATGTGCCACTGCTGCCCGACTTGTATGAAATTTTTAATCTTCACAAAAACCTAATGTGGGGACAGTTCTAATTACTGCCATTCACTAATTGCAAAACTGAAGTCTTGAGTTTAGTGACTTGCGCAGATCCAGAGCAGAGCTGAAATCTGAGCCAGAGTCAGGGCTGCTGGCTCTGGCATTTCAAAGGCTCTTGTCTTGTTTTTCTAAGCAAGGCTTCACCACATAGCCCAGGCTGGCACTGGACTCGGTCCTCCTGCACATGGCTCTAGACTAGCTTTGTATTCAAACAAGGGTTTCCATTGTTCTTCAAGGGATTTCGTGTTGCACAGGTTAACTTTAAATCCACTATGTAGTCCAGGCCGGGGTTGAACTTGTGAATCTCCTAGCTCTGCCTCCTGAGTGCTAAGATAATGGGTCCACAGCACCTCTGTGCCACAGTTTGGTTTGGGTGGGGGAGCACAAGCTCAGGAGCCGTCCCTAATGGAAGTTCTGTTTTGTCCTAGGTTCTGACAAGTGGACATCCCTAGAGAGGAAACTGTTTAACAGAGCGCTGGCCACTTACAGCAAAGACTTTATTTTTGTACAGAAGATGGTAAGCCTCTCTCTCCACTGCTCATTTGAAGGATCTTCAAGATTCTAGACATCACGATAGTGAAATATATTTTTACTGCTTTTTATAACATCCCCACAAAAGGTCTGTCTTCCACTATTGTGAGGAATGATGGCGCTCATTACAGGGACGGTGTGACACCAGTGTTGGTGTGGCTAGAGATGATAAGAGAAAGAATACATAGATTGCTTGGACTCAGATGTACTGAGGTTTCTGTGTGTGTGTGCACATGTGTGTGTGTGAGTCGGGATAACCTTGCCTATTGTTCCTCAGATACAGTCCCCCTTTCTCTTCTTAGTGATTTATTTTTATTTTATTTGTGTGAACATTTGCCTGCATGTATGTCTCATGTCCACAGAGTGAGGGAGAAGGTATCCAATCTCCTGGAATAGAGTCATAGATGGTTGTGAGCCACCATGTGGTGCTGGGCATTGAACCTGGGTCCTCTGCAAGAGCAGCCAGTGCTCTTAACCACTAAGCCACAGCTCCAACCCCCACTGTCCATCTTTTTATTTGAGACAGACTCTTGATTGCTTTGGAGTTCACTGAGCAGGCTCGGCTTGCTGGCTGGTGGCCCCAGGGAATCCTCCTGTCTCCTACTCACCAATGCTAAGTTTACCAGTGTGCTCTACCTTGCTTGTCTCTCTTTTTTTTCTTTTTTTTTTTTTTTTTTTTAAAGATTTATTTATTTATTATTTGTAAGTACACTGTCGCTGTCTTCAGACACCCATATGAGGGCATCAGATCTCATTGCAGATGGTTGTGAGCCACCATGTGGTTGCTGGGATTTGAACTCATGACCTCTAGAAGAGCAGTCAGTGCTCTTAACCGCTGAGCCATCTCACCAGCCCGCTTGTCTCTCTTAAGTGGGCTCTTGGGATAGAACTCAGATCCTCCTGGTTTCCAGCTGTGCTTCGTCCTCGGCCCCTGGGCTTCTGTTTTAATAAACATGTGCGACATGCACGATTCTTTCAGAACAACTGGAACTGGTGCTAGGTCCCAACCTCCATAGTTTATAGCATGTCTAGACAAGTGATGGTGCTTCTGACAGCGTTTTCCTACGACCATGTAGAGGAGAGGGAGGCATGTGGTCCTCTCTTACCTACTGTGAGGATTTCTGGAGTCAGACCCATTCATCATGACAGCAATGATAAAAATAGTATCTGCCAGGCATGGTGGTATATACCTTTAATCTCAGCACTCTGGAGGCCGGGCCGAAGTAGGTAGATTCCTGTTGGATCCAAGACCACCACCTGGTCTACATGGCAAGCTCCAGGCCAGCTCGGGCTGTGTAGTGAGAAACTGTCTCAAAAACAACAATCCCTTACCCCCCATCAAAAATGAGGGGGGATGATAACTATATAGCATTTTGCAGAAAATAGATTATTAGATAGATAGATAGATAGATAGATAGATAGATAGATTAATAAATAGATAATGGATACATATATGATTGGTAGATAGATGATTGATTGATTGATTGATACATACATATATACATACACATACATAAATGATTGGCAGATAGATAGATGATAGATAGACAGACAGACAGACAGACAGGCAGACAGACAGATTGATCCTCAAAGGTTGGAGTACAGCTCTGCAGCAGAGTGCCTGCCTAGCATGCAGGAGACCCTGGATTTACAAGGAAAAACAGAAAGAGGAGATAAAGTGCCCATAGAGGAAATCAGACATTAATCGATAACAGGTTCCATAGGCTTTCATTGGCTGGGAGAGGTTTAGAGATAAAATTCAAATGTTTCAAGGTATTTCAACAGCTTTCTAAAGGAAGAGCTCACCATCCTGACTGCTGAACGTTCAGGAGATAGCCCCATTGGCTTGGCCTCTGCTGAGGACTTAATGGCAGATGGCACAAATGGAGGGAGATATTTTCCTGCCAGAGAATCAGAGCCACTGAGGGTGGGCTCAGTCTGGGGACAGGTGCTCTTTGCAGAACTCCTCTGAAGACGGGGAGAAGGCTCTGAAGGAATTACTACCTACTGCACAAGTAGGAGGCCTTGAGTTCGAATCCTTAGCACCCACCTTAGAAACCGAGGCATGGCTATACGCGTGCCTCCACTTCTGAGGGAGAGACAGAAGGATCCACGAGGCCTGTAGACTGACAATTTGAGCTCCGGGTCCAATGAGAAACCATGTCTTAAAGAAATAAGGCAGAGAGTGATAGAGCAACAGACCTCTGTCGTACACATCACACACACACACACACACTCACTCTCACACCTGATACTTCCCAGGGTAGTGCTCTTCCTCACAACCTAATGACCTTTAACTGAGCCCCACGCCCCTTTAGTCAACGTCTCCCTGTGTAGACCAGGCTAGCCTAGAACTCACAGATAATTATCTGCTTCTGCTTTCCCCAAGTACTGGGATTCAAATCCTATCCTGTGTTGTCATTCCTGTCAAGCCCAACTTCTTAGCGGTTTCACAGACCTTGGGGACCAAGCTCCCAAAACACAAGCCCTCTGGGGACAAGCCACACTAAAACTGTGGCGCTCTGCCTACACCTTATTCCATAAAGCCCCTGCACTCGGGTTCCATGGCCAGCTGTGTGCGGAATTAACCAGCCAGTACCACGTATTAACCACGGGCTCTGGGGCAGCATCTCGAATCTCAGGGATGACTCCAGTGTAGGAATTCCGAATGACAGGTGGATGTTGAAGAAGGCAACACACTTCTGGTGGTACCCTCCTCTTCTCGTTGTGTAGGTGGCTGTATCCCTGTCATCTCCGTATCTGGGTGACTGAACCCCACCTGAGCATAGAGGCCTATGAACTAAGCAAAGCAATGCTCCATTCCAACATACATGTGCAGACCGAGCGTCGCTAATCCAAAGACCTGAGATCAGGGTGCTCTGAGGGTTTAGGGCAGCTAAGATTTCTCAAGTGAGAGACCGCAGCCGGAAAAGTTGTGCTGTTTCTAAATCCAAACCTGACCCTTCTTGTCCCACACATATGTGGTGTTTTCATTACGGTATTTATGGGGGATCAGAGGATAACTTATAAGAGTGGGTTCTCACATTCCACCATGTGGGTCTCAAGAATCAAACTTAGGCCTGCCTACAGCTTTATCCTCTGAGCCAGCTCAGATATCCCAGGATGATTTCCAGTCCTCCTAAAGACACACGCTGCCATCACACCTGGGCTGAAGCATCTTGGGTAAAGGATACTTTCGCCTCTTTGGGGCATCACAGGGCAGAGCTTGTACCCCACATTAGGGAAGCTCTCACACCTACAGTGCTTATACCTCTGTCTTACAACACACACAAACACACACACACACACACACCTGTTGCTGAGGTCTTGCTCATGAGTTGGTTTGGGTTGGTTTTGAGACAGGGTCTCACATGGCCCAGGCTAGCCTGGAACTGGCTGTCCAGCTGAGTGTGAACTTCACCTCCTGATTCCTTGCCTGCACTTACCGAGTGCTGGGATCACTGGTGTCCATCACACCTAGATCACAAGTAGATTCTGAGAGTCCGAAATACAAAGAGCTGAGCACTCTGACACTTTAAATGGAAGAGCATCTGTTTTGATTTACAAAACTCCAAGCTGGGTAAAGGTTATCACGTCACAAAATGGTGTTTATGGTGTGCTTGCTGCCTCTCATGAGAAAAAATATCAGAGGCAAGAACATAATACTCTGGTTGACGCATGAATAAAGAATTTCTGGAATGAGACCTGAGATAAATGAATAGTACGGGGACTGGTAGGGGCTCTGCAGGTAAAGGAGCTTGCTGCCAAACCCAATGATCTGAGTTCAAGCCCCCAAGATCTACATGGTGAAAGATTCCAAAGTCTGCCTGCCACTGGGTGCCGGAGCTAATCTCGGGTGCACTTTCTTGGCAGGTGAAGTCCAAGACAGTGGCTCAGTGCGTGGAGTACTACTACACTTGGAAGAAGATAATGCGGCTAGGGCGGAAACACCGGACACGCCTGGCGGAAATCATCGACGACTGCATGGTGAGCGGTGTCACTCAGTCAGCACCTCTGACCCCTCCGCCCTGCCCGAGCTCTACCCCAGGCTAGTAAGTGGTTAGGAAAGGTGACAGAGTTCCCTGCGCACTTGGGAAACTTAGGACTTGACTCCCTGCCGTAGGCGGAAGGAAGGCATTCCCAGGTTCAGGCTAAACCCTTCCTTTAGTAAAAGTTGTAATGTCTTTGTGTTTGTAGATGGGCAGGAGCCCGAGGGAGACCAGGGTGGTCTGTCCCATTGTTGACTTCGTTGACTCATAAGAATGTGTTCCCTCCAGCTCTAATATCCTTTCCTGAGACTTCCGTGACACAGATGTCACTGGCCTGAAAACATAAGGTGTTGGGGGACTCTGTGACCACCCTGGCCAGCAGAGTAACAATCCCCAGGAGACGAGAAGGTAGCATGGTTCTACACAACTCAGTAGCTAATGATGGTTTAAATTTCACGAGTCTGACCGAAGTAGGGTTTTGTTTTTTTTTTTTTAGGGATATTTAAGCACAGCACAATTTGGTAAAAAAAAAAAAAAACAAAAAAACCACAACTTTCCTGGTGATAATTAACTTAATCCCATGAGCACAATAAAGCTTAAGACATGACTGCATAGATGCCTTTTGTAAAGTACATGTGACATCTTCCATAAAGTGGGTTCTGTTGATTTGCACACTCATGATGAGGATGCTGGGGGGGGGGGGAGGAGAGTCTGGTGCAGTCATGGCCATCAGATAGCACAGAGGTCACCAAACTGTTAACCACGTCTGCTCCCAGCCTTCATGGTAGATAACAGCTCATAGATTCCTTCCTTTGTAAGGACAACTCTCTGTGTTTACCCCGGTGTATATCTGGGAGCACAGGGACCTCCACGCCTCCACAATAACCTATCTCAGAAAGATGGAGGAGATCTGAGATTGTGTGACATTCCCTCTAAAGTGTGACCAAGAGACACGTTGATCTGTAGGTTTTCTTATCATGGAGGAGCTGCTGCGTGGGTGGGGATGAATCCAGTCCTTGCACCCCCATCCACTCCAGGCATTGATCTTCCTTATCAGCACAAAGTCCAGAGTCATCTTCATACTCTAGACCTAAGACCCAAGATGGGAGCTGTGCCTGCCTAGCATACACAGAGCCCTGGGTTCGAATCCCAGCACTGTGTAATACTGGGTGTGGTGGCACTCAATGGTCATCTCAGCTCTCAGAAGCTGGTGACGAGGAAAGTCCAAAGGTCTAGGTCATTTTTGGTTACATAATTCATGGCTAGCCTGGGCTACATGAAAATTTACTTTAAAAAAAAAAAAGCCTAAATAAGTAAAAAGTATAAGCAAAGGCCCGGGCTACAGAGGTGGCTCAGTATTTAGAGTGCACCTTGTTTTTCCAGAGAACCTGAGTTTGGTTTCCAACACTCAAATACCAGCTCCAATCCCAGGGAATCGGTGCCCTCTCCTACGTTCCCACCACACCTGCTTACACAGTGTGAACACATCTGTAGCCAGGCAGTGGTGGCGCACACCGTTAATCCCAGCACTGGGGAGTTTGAGGCCAGCCTGGTCTATAGAGCAATGTTAGCCAGGGCTACACAGAGAAACCCTGTCTCAACAAAACCTAAATAAATAAATAAAGTACATAAGTAAATGTGTAAATCTTTTAAAACTGGAAAATATAAAATATGAAAGGAAGATAAAACAAAAACCAGTCAAGTCTACTGTGGTTCTGTCAACTGCAAGTATTTAATCCCCACAATATGCACATCAGTATATGAGCTGAAAGACTGTTTTGTGGCTAAGAGCACTGTCTGCTCTTACAGAGGATGTAGGTCTGGTTCCCACAACCCCTGTGGTGGCTCACAGCTATCTGTATCTCCAGTTTCAGTTGATCTAGCACCCTCTTCTGGCCACCTCACGTGTCAGGCACAAACTATGGCACACACACATACATACATACATACATACATACATACATACATACATACATTCATACATACATACAGGCAAAACATCCATGCTTAATGTTTAAACAGCGGTGTATATGGATGTCAGCAGTCAAGATGCTCTCTGTCTGCTCTGACCTCACCACTCACAGAATATATTCTAATTTGAATATATGTGGAATTCCACATACAATGGAAACTTGACTGTGAATTCCAAGAGTATTTGAAAATAGAATGAGACAAGAACCAGAAAGTCTTAGAGTCAAAGGGTACCCAGCCTCACAGGCTGCGGCCCAGGCAGGAGGCTTGCCTAGGGTCCCTGAGACATGCTGTCCATATGAATAGAATAGACAGGAAGGAAGGGGTCACAGAAAATGCTGCCCCAAGGTTTAAGACCTCACTCCCTGCTGAACGGTAAAATGGAACGGATGGTTTCAGTGATTCGAAAAGTCCTTTTTTTCTAGAATGTTCTGACTCATGTCAGCGCTGTGTTTCAGGAAAAGACAAATGAGATCTCAGGACTGGGTGGGGGGGCTAAGTGTTTAGATAGAGTTCTTTCTCTGAGAGCATGGGACCAGGGTTTGGGTCCCCAGAATCCATGTATATATCATGTGAACACAGCTATGTAGCCATAATTTTAGTGTTTAGAAGGCTCAGAGATATGGGATCCTGGAGCAATCTGACTGGCCAAACTAGTCATGTCTGAGCTCTGGGATCAACTGAGAGACCCTGCCTCAGTAAATAAAGTGGGGAGTGCTAGAGGAAGACGCCACGCAGCAACCTCAGGCCTCCACACACATGCACACACATGCGCACACATGTACGTGAAGGGAAAGTCGGATGATATGATCTGCTAAGAGAGAGACGTTTCTCAGGTTCTGGTGTAACAAGGGTCTAGGGACAATGCCCAGGGGAATGGGAATACGTAAATGTCACTCGGGAAATATTTGTTGAATGAATGAGCATTTTTCTGACAGAGGGATCACTGGTTCATAGTATCGTCCCTGTGTGGATGCCGGAGGGAGAGGGATGGAGCACGGAGGTGCTGTACAGAGGAATGTTGTTAGGCAGCCATCGCCATCTTGGCCAGTATACGTCAATAGAGGAAAGGCAGGGCCAGGGTGCTGCCTCAGAGGAGAAGAAAAACAGAGAAGGTGCCACACCCACCAGCTCATTGACGGTGAGCCAGCATTAGGGTGGGTTATAGCATCCACACCCTTGTCCTTTGTATGTTCAGGGAAAGCAAAAGGCTTTTGTGCAAACATGACTCAGGACCATTAAAACAGACTTTGTTAAGCCCGAGTCATAGCTCTGACTTCCTCTTGGGTTCCATGAGTATAGTCAATAATCTGAGCGCCGACTGCTAAGTAGAAACGGAAACCTGGAAGGACAGGGAAAGGTGCAGCAGGCCCAACCCTGCCACATGGTCCTGACCCTCTGTCTGGGAACAGGTGAGGGGCAAGATGACTCAGCAGGTAAAGGTGTCTGCTGCCACACATGCTGATACGAGTTCAGTCACTGCAAGATGAGAGGAGTGAATCCACTCCTAAAAGCTGTCCTCTAACCTCAACATGTGGTATGTGTGTGCATACACACACACACACACAAATGTAATTTTAAGAAAAGACAAGTGACCATTTTTTCCAAAGGAAGCACAAGAGGCTCGCTGAGGGACAGCTGAAGACCTAGGTTCTGCAGATGGTCAAGGGTGGATGTAGTGTGCTCACTTGCTCAGCAAGATACTGTGAGGTCCAGCCTGAGCTACCTCTGACCCTCTCTCACTGGATCCAATGCTATCGAGGCTTGGCTATCCAGAGATCCCCAGGGAACTGCCTGTCACCACCTCCACGGCTCTGGGGTGCAGCCTTCACAGACACATGCCTCCAGACTTTCTAGTGGTTTCTGAGACTTGAACTCAGATCCTCATTTTGCAAAGCAAGCCCTTTACCAATGGGGCCAACTCCCCAACCCCTCAGTTCAGTTTCTTGGTCAGCTATATGAGGTTACGAAAATGACCCACCTGGCTGACTTTATGATTTCTTTACAAAAGAAATCTGTACAGAGTTCTGGGATGATTAGGATTCCAAGTCCTGGGGGGTGGGGGGGGGCAGGAGAGGAGAGGTGCCCAATGAATACCACACATTTAATACCTTTTCCTCATTGGTATCAAGAGCAACCCTGACACTCGGTGTGTATCTTTGGCAGATTTGGGTTGGACGGCTGTGTTCCATTTTCCCTGTTTGTTGCCGCATAGATACAAAAGACTGTCCTCTGCCAGGGACTTGTGGTGTGGACAGTTGAGGCTCAGGCACTGGGTTTAATTTTGTTCCTTAGGCTGGAGAGATAGCTTAGTGATTGAGAGCAATTGCTGCTCTTCCAGAGTGGCTGGGTTTCATTCCCAGCACCCACATAGGGCTGCTCACAATTGCCTGTAACTCCAGCTCCACTGGACCCGACACCCTCTTCTGGCTTCTGCAGGCAGGGCGTGCAGGTGGCATACACTCACACATACATACATGGCACAGTTACATCTATATGTAATATAGATATAATTACACATATGTAATTGTGTGTGTGTGCACGCGTGCTCACTCGCATGTGCATGCATGTGTATGTGTGTACGTATCTCTTCCTCCCTGCCCTGTGTTTGCCCAGTTCCCATCTGAAGCTGTTCTAAACATTTCCATCTGCAGTGCATCGTAAAACGGCCAACATGTAGCTACAGCGTGCTGCCTGTTGGGGTTCGGTCCCCCTATCTTTGTGCCTCTGAGTCACTTCACCTTGATGATAAATATGTGAGGAACTTGTACAGATTGCCAATTGAAATGAAAACCCATCTGAAGTCGTGAGATGTGCGTAGTGGCGCCATGCGGTAGAATTTAATCTATAATTTTGTGGCTACAAATATGAAATGTGTCTTCAGAGTTCTTAAGCCAATGGAGACGGCACTGTGAGAAAACTGTAATTATAATAAGTACCATGGAGCAAGTGCCATTGTCCTAGAGCTTTATTGTCCTAGAGCTTTGTTGTGTAGCATGTCTTATAAATGCCCGAGTGGAGGCCATGTCTGCTTAGTAGTTGACACTACAGAGTTACAGTTCTTTTAAAGATGGCACACTGGTTTTCCTGAGACTCTCAATTTGAAAGGGGATGGGTAACAGGAAGAAGGCCACTTATGTAAAGCCAACCTGTGTGTTCTGTCCTAACAAGGGGCCTTTTTCTAGAAACTACTCCACGATAGGTGCTTGGCCTACGCAGTTCGCACTGACTATGTACTCATTACTAACTGATCTTAGTTAGCTGGCTGGAAACTGGCCATTTCTTAGCTTGCTAACGCCAGCTCTTGACTCTGCAGCTACACAGACATGATGCCTGTGTGTTACATCACATGGCCTGTGAACCGCACTGAAGAGGGGAAAACGTTAAGTACCTTGTGTCAGCTGCTATTGTCTCTGTAATTCTCCCACAACTCACCCCTAAGTCAAAACTGGAGAATGGCCACTGTGATGTGGTATTATATGGTTGTAATCCGAGCTCTCAAGAGGTGGAAATATGGGGTTGCCATGAGTTGTTACAGTCCAGCTTGGAATACATAGTGAGTTCTGGACTATGGTGTGAAACTGTCTTAAGGGATCGGGCAGGAGAGGCTGTAGACATGGCTCAGTGGTTAAGAGCACTTGCTGCTCTTCCAGAGGGACCTGGGTTTGATTCTCAGCACCTATATTGGATGGCTGACAACAGCCTGTAACTCCAGCTCCAGGGGATCTGATGCCTCTGGCTTCTGAGGGCACTTGCTTACCTATACCCATATACAAAGACACCCATGTAATCTAAAAATGAAAATAAAAAGCCAGGAATCGGGCTGGAGAGATGGCTCAGCAGTTAAGAGCACTGGCTGCTCTTCCAGAGGGCCTGAGTTCAACTCCCAACAACCACAACCTTCTGTAATGGGATCTGATGCCTTTTTTCTAGTATGCATGAAGAGAGAGTACTTATATCTGATAGATAGATGGGTGGATGGATGGATGGATGGATGGATAGTTGGATGAGGCAGGAGGATTTTGACTTCAAAGCCAGTCTGGGCTACATGGCAAGACCTTGTCTGGGAAGCAAAAAGAGACAGAAGGAGAGCAAGCTAGGTGTGGTGAGGCTATCTGCTTCTCAGCCCAGCACTGGAGAGATGAGAGCTCAGAAGTCAAGTGAGGCTTTGCCTACAAAGCAAGTTCACAGCCAGGCTGAGCTATACAGAACGAGAAAAGACGGAGAGACGGCTCATCAGTTAAGAGCACTTACTGTTCTTGCTAAAGACCCAGATTTGCTACCCAGTACCCACATTAAGCAGCCCATAACCATCTGTAACTCCAGCTCCAGGGAATCCAATGCCCTCTGGCCTCCTTGGGCCCTGGCTTGCACATGGTACACAGAAATTCATGCAGACTAGAAACCATACAAATAAATAAAAATAAATGAATTTTAAAGTCAAACTAATCCCTGACTTCTTTCCCAGCCCACCCATACCACCCTGCTCTATAACTTGCTGTTTGCAGTCTTATTTTATGCTTCTGGGTGGTTTGCCTGCATGTGCATCATATTCATGCCTCGTGCCCAGAGAATTCAGATCTCTTGGAACTGGAGTGGTTATGAGCCACCATGTGGGTGCTAAGAAGTGATCCTGGGGCCCCTGTAAGGACAGCAAACACTCTTTAACTGTTGAGCCATCTCTCTAGACTCCGCCCCCACCTAAAGTTTTTTTTTAAAGACTTATTGTTTTATGTGTATGTGTTGTGGGTCTGAATGTGTATTGTATGCGTGCACCACATTCGTGCAGGCTCCTGTAGAGGCCGCAAGAGGCCGTCGTACACTCTCAAACTAGCCTGAGACTGATGGAGAGCTGCCCAATAAGGGTCCTGAGAACTGAGCACTGGCCATTTGAAGAACAGTATTTACTCTTAACTGCTGAGCCATCTCTCCAGCCTTTATTCTTTATTTATGTGTATGTGTGTCTTCATAAGTGTATGTCATGTGTGTGCAGTATCCAAGGAAACCAGAAGAGGGCATCAGATCCCCCTGGAGCTGGAGCTACTGATGATTATGACCTAGACTTGGGTGCTGGGAACTGAACTTAGGTCCTCTGAAAGAGCAGCCAGGGCTCTTAACAGATGATGCATTGCTCCAGTCCCTCAACTGTATTTTTTGAGGCTCTCTTCCGTGATACTGGAGCTTAAGTTCTTGATTAGGTTGGTTAGCCCACAACCTATAGGGACTCTCTTGTTCCAACCTCCCAGCACTGAAGGCACCACACACACAGCTGGCTTTTATCTGGGGACAAGGGACTGGGACTTCAGGTCTTTAGGCTTGTGTAGCAAGGGCTTTCTTTACCCACTGCTGTTCTCCCCTCTCCCACCCTCCCAGGCAGAGGCTCTCCATGCCTTTCCCCTCTGCCTTAGCAAGTTTTCCTATAATGGATCATGGGGGGACCCAAGTGCAATAGGAAGAGTTCTTGACCTCAACATCCCTAAGTGTCCAGAGACCAGCCCCTGCACACTCTGTCACCACTCTGTCACCTACCACAGGAAGAGTAACAGCCCCAGTGTGCCATGACCTCCTGGCTTGTGATTTCTGTCCACCACGAAGTTGCCTTTTGATACCACCCTCTCAATTTTATTAACAACAGACCAGCGAAGAGGAAGAGGAGGCCGAGGAGGAAGAAGAGGACCCAGAAGAAGATAGGAAATCCATAAAAGAAGAGGAGAGTGAAGTGCCCAAGTCGCCAGAGCCACCGCCCGCCCCTGCCCTGGCTCCCACTGAGGGACCACCCATGCAGGCTGTTGGCCAACAGCCATCAGGCTCCTTCATTTGTGAGATGCCCAACTGTGGGGCTGTAAGTATCCGTGTTATCCCCGGCTCTGGGAGAAGTGAGGGGCGTGCAGCTGTGCCTAGTTCTAAGAGCAGTGGACATCTGGCAGAGGCCTGCCACGCAACTACCACTGTCTTACTCGTTGGCCAAGGGAGAGCGACTGTATGTTCTCTGCCAAGCATGATGCTGCGTGCTGGGGAAGTTAAGAGGCCCCTAAAGCCAAGTGTGGCGGAGCAAGCTTGTCACTCCCAGCTCTCTGGGGGCTGTGGCAGGGGAATTGAGACCTTGAGGCCAGCCTGAGGTATATAGTGAGACTCCGCCTCCAGGCCAAAAAAAAAAAAAAGCTCCTGCCTTCAGGAAGTGTATGATTGACAGCTCTGCATGAGTCTACTCTCCTGCCTCCTGCTACTCTGCAGGTCCTCGAACTGTGTGGCACCAAAGGCCAGATTAAACCTTGTCAACATCATTTAAATTCCCTAGAAGATTCCACCAGGGTTTCCCTTCTGTAACACAGTGACTTGCCTGAACCGCCTCTGGTTTTATCTCTCTGCATGGTTTAGCTTTTCATATCCAAATGTCACATTAGTGACGTCTGAGCAAGTTGTTCCCAAGCAACTAAAGTTTGACTCTGCAGTCTGAGGGCACAAAACTTCACTAAGCAACTTACTGATGTGACCAGGATGAGTGAGAGTCTGGAGGACCCCACCACCTCCTCCTGAGCACAGAGGAGCCTGCCGGAATGTGGGCCAATGTCCTCTAAGGCTCCACATCCTAGAGGCTGTGTAGCATGGCTTCTGTGTGTCCTGCCTGTCCCCACCAGTCTGCACGGCTGAGATTTCCCCAAATCGTGTTTCTTAAAGCCTAACACACTAGCGTGGACATGTTCTAAAGGTGTTACCGTCTTCCCAGGAAGCTCGACCATTGTCCAGCTCATCTTTGCTTGTTTAATATAGAGCATATTAATGCTGTCATTGAGTCTGCCATTTAAAGAAAGACTTTAAAGTGTTTATATCCTGGGCTGGGCAGGTGGCACACCCCTTTAGTCCCAGCCTCTGGAGGCAGAAGCAGACTTCTCTAGTTCAAGGCCAGCCAGGACTACATAGTGAGACCCTGTCTCAAAAGAAAGAAATGAGTAAAATATGTTATAAAATGTTTTAAGAAAAATGAAAAGGCTTTAAAAAATAAATAAATAAATAGAATTAAATAAATAAATAAATAGTAAACCGGGCAGTGGTAGCACACGTCTTTAATCCCAGTACTTGAGAGGCAGAGGCAAGTTTAAAATTTTTTTTAAAGATTTATTTATTTTATTTATGAGTACACTATAGCTGTCTTCAGACACACCAGAAGAAGGCATCAAGTCTCATTATGGGTGGTTGTGAGCCACCATGTGGTTGCTGGGATTTGAACTCAGGACCTCTGGAAGAGCAGTCAGTGCTCTTAACCACTGAGCCATCTCTCCAGCCCCCAGAGGCAAGTTTAAATGTGAGGCCAGCCTGGTCTACAGAGTGAATTCCAGGACAGCCAGGACTACACAACAAAACCCTATGTCAAAAACAGAAAATAGAAAATAGAAGTGTGTACACGTTCCATTCCCTTTGTGAGAGCACAAGAAATGGCCACCATGCTGGATCTCTGGTGGCCTGGCCTCTGCACCTTGGAACTGCTCAAATGGCTTCCTGCAGACTAAAATGTGACTTTATATGACAATGTGTCTTGGTAAATTTGTTCAGAAACTGGGCCCCTTTTCAATTCACTTTTTAGGGTACAATAAATGTTTGGTTTTTAATTCAGGGGGTGGTGTTGGTTTGGGTTTGGTTTGTTTTTGCTGGGTGAGGGGATCATCTTTTACTTTGTCCAATCAGACATGCTCAGCAAGAGAGACATTCTGAATGACTTTAAAAAAAAAAAATCTGCCGGGCAGTGGTGGCGCACGCCTTTAATCCCAGCACTTGGGAGGCAGAGGCAGGTGGATTTCTGAGTTCGAGGCCAGCCTGGTCTACAGAGTGAGTTCCAGGACAGCCAGGACTACACAGAGAAACATTGTCTCAAAAAACCTAAAAACAAAAAAGAAACAAAACAAAAATAAAATCTAAAGAAAGTGTGATTGATGGTTTATTCCATGCCTAGCAATGAAGACTGAGTTCAGTAAATCAAAAATAGATTTTTTTGTAATAAAAAAGACCCATGAGCCGAACAAAGAGAGGCCACCTAAAAGCCACTGAGATGGAACAAAGGCTTCTGGTTTGGGGGGCTGTGGACCATAGCCCAGTACTTCAGTGGCTCTGGACAGAGGATAATTTGGTCCTGCAAGAACGTTTTTGCTAGGATGGAGAAGGTGGAGTGGCATCTGGTGGGTAGAGGCCACAGAGGCCTCTAAACACCTGCCGTGTACAGGACAGTCACCACCTGTCCAGCCCCACGTATCCATAGTACTGAGGCCAAGAAGCCCAGCTCTGTGGCAGTGTTTGAAAAAGTAGCCAGGCATGGTGGTAGACACCTGTACTCCCAGCACTTGGGGGAGGACGGCCGGAGGATAAAGAATTCGGCTCTCCAGTGAGGTGAGGGCCAGCCTGGACTGCAGACTAGACTCTAACTCAATGAAGTCATTGGTCTGTGTATTCCCAGCCAGGCATAGTGACACAGACTTGTAGTTCTAGCACTCGGGAGACAGGCAGGAGGCTTGTCTCATGTTAGAAATCATGTTTTAAACTGGTCTAAATAATAAGTTCCAGGCCAGCCAGGCCTTCAGAGTGACACCCTGTCCCCCAAACTACAAGAAAGCCTGGCCTTTTTGGCTTCTGCGGTACACTTGGATTGCAGGTGTAGTTCAGAGCGAGAGCATTCATCTAGCAAGCCTGAGGCCCAGGTTCTGTCCCCAGCATTACAGAAAGCAACAAGATTTAAAACAATGAGTTACTGATGGGGGGAAGAGAAGTATTTGAGAATCCAGTGGTTTAATGGCCTCTGATATTTGTAACAGAGTTTCAAGTTAGAGCAGAGGCTGAGTCTCCTGGCTTTCAAACAAGAGCTTTGTCCTTGGTACTAAGCCACGGGGCCTTGTGCTCTGGTTAGACCAGTGAAGGAAGTCCTATCCCACAGAGTTGGTGGTTGGGGTGTCTGAGCTTTGCTTTCTGTGCCACACGCCCAGTGCTTGCTTGTGTGAGCCCTGTGCTGTTTCGTGTATCCCATGTTTTGCCGCCAAGTAACTAACAACCCTAATTTCCTTTTCAGGACTGTAGATGTCATGTGGCTCCCTTTCTTCCTCAGGTGTTCAGCTCCCGACAGGCACTGAACGGCCACGCCCGCATCCATGGTGGCACCAACCAGGTGGCTAAGACCCGTGGTACTGTCCCCTCTGGGAAGCAGAAGCCAGGTGGCACCCAGAGTGGGTACTGCTCAGTGAAGAGTTCACCATCTCACAGTACCACCAGTGGAGAGACAGACCCCACCACCATCTTCCCCTGCAAGGAGTGTGGCAAGTAGGTACACTTCAACCAGGGACCAAACCCAAGGTCAAAGTGAATGATGGTTCTGTGGGGGCTGTTTCTTTAGCTGATTCTCAGGGCTCCCCTTGATACCACCCAGGGGGTGCAGATAGATCTTCTCACACCCTCTAGTCATGCCTCTGCCCACAGCAGACATCACTAATCGATTTCCACATTCTCTAACATCACATTAAAATGAGGTATTCTGTCCTTTATATCATAATGATGCAAGCTGGCACATCCTGTTGATTAAAGCCCAGGCATGGGATAAAACCTGCTTTTCGCCCCTGTCCCTTTAGATATAACTTAAAACAGCACCTAAGGTAGGAAGCTAAAAGTAGATCAGAGGAACGATAGCTAGCACAGCGGGCTTTTATCCTACCACATACTTCATGTATGTGAGTTCACACAATCCCCACAGGGAAAAGCTCCATCCAATGCAAGGCGCCTTCACGCTTAGTTTACAAGGAAAGATTTTAAAGTCAGGTAAAACAACTTTTCCCAAGTCACGCAGTCAGGAAAGCAGAGCTGAGGTTTAAACTCTGCTGTGTCCAGCTGCAGTGCCCGGCCTCTCCACGATGCTCCAGCTTTCTGCCTCCTTTTTGATTAGCTACATTGCAAACAGCCTAGCTAGTGGTAAAATACATGGATCCTTCACAGCCTCCTTCTCAGTGAGTCTGCCTAGCCCCAGCGTCCTCACACCCTGAGAGCCGGGAGGGCTTTGTTAGTCTCTCTATAGTCTCTAGCGTCTCAAGCATATAAGGAATGGTACCTGGAGAGACACCTACCAGGAGACTCTCTTAGTTCTGTAAGTGAGCCCAGTGGGGACCTCGGTTTCCATGTCCTTACAGAATATGTCAGATGAGCTGGAAAGATGTGTAAAAGCAACTTGTATTTGCCTGATCTGTCCCCAAGGCTTACTGCTTCAGTCTGCCAACCTAAGCCTGGTCCTAGAAGCTTCTAGCCCGGACAATTGTATCTGTGCCTCTGGGACTTACTGCTGAATAAGCTCGCCCTTTATTGTTCTCTCAAACTCTAGCTGTGTGGTCAGCTTAGTTCACTCTTTGCCTAGCTGACTGATTCACACTGGCTTCTCTCTCAGCCTCTGAGTTTTTGTTTGCTTGACCTCAGACTAACTCTGGCAATACATTCTAATTCTGGCTCCTCATTCTTTGGCTCGTTCTGTCTTCACCTGTGTCTGTCTTCACCTGTAACCTCTCTCTATAACTGCCTGGTAAAACTGCCCTCCTTCTTTTCGTCCTCTCTCTGCAGTGCTCTCTTAAGTAGCTTCCCTTTCCCCTCTCTCCTCGTGAGAGTTGGAGATAGCCTATTCTGTCAGATCTTTCTCTGATTCGTCACTTTTTCTGCCACTCAGATAGACATCACTTTCAAACATGGGTGCTTCCTTCTACAAACTAACTTTACCTTCATTTGGGGGATTAAAGGTGTGTGCTAAGGACTGAGCCACACCACAACTAGAAAGAGGTTTTTTTCAGTATATAACAATCTCAGGGCTCCCAATGTGATCAAATATCCTGCAACAGAGATGTGTAGCTGTTCTTTGCTACTTTGTGGGTTTTTCTTTTTCCTACTCTTTATCCCCTCCCCCTTCATCTTCTGTCACTAGATAGGAAAGAAAGAAGGATAGAGAAGAGAGATAAAGATCCCTGAATCTTAATTTCTTTCTTTTTATTTCTTCTTTGAACATGACTACTAACATACCACAAACAACCCCCCTGAATGACCAACAACCACCAACCCCACCTCTCCGGGCCCTAGCATTTATATACCCTCTGAAAAATTCAGAAACAATGTCCAAAACTATCTGCAGCTGTCAAAACCACACCTCTGCTAGAGCATGAGACAAATCACAGTCAACAGCTACAGACAGTCCAAAGCGACCCCACAGCCTCACACCTGGGGATAAAACAAAAACATATTCTTATAATAATTTTGTGTTTTAAAATAAAAATCCAGAATTCTCACTACAGAGATAGCTTAGCAGTTGGGAACATCGGTTGCTCTTCCAGAGGACCTGGGTTTAGTTCTAGCACCCAAATGATAACTAACAACCATCTGTAACTCCAATGCCAGGAGATCCGATGTCCTCTTCTAGCATCCACAGATGCTGCACAGAACTACATACAGGCAGACACCCACTCATATAAAAAATAACAACCAAATAAAAAGAACAATTGTGATATTAAAAAATAATAATAATATATCAGGCAACTCCATAGCATTCTGCAATGAGTGGGTCATCCCTGCTTTTGCCTGAGGCTGTTTTAAATGGAGTTTTAGACTCCTGATTCATTTACTCCTTAGGATAGCCCTGTGGGGGGGTGATGCTCCTTAGGATAGCCCTGTGGGGGGGTGATGCTCCTTAGGATAGCCCTGTGAGGGGGTGATGAGAGGGCTCAGCAAAGTACTCGCTGCCACTTGTCGACAAGTCCAGATCCCACGTGGTGGAAGGAGATAACTGACTTCAGAAAGTTGTCTCCTGACCTCCGTGTTTACAGACCTCATGCCATGGGGGTGTGACACCCGTGACAGGCCTTCTCAGGCAAAAACTCCACAGGCTGAGGATCCCTAATCTTAAAACCCAAAATTTGGTGAACAAGGCATTTGACACAGCAGATGAAAAGTTCTACACTGTGAAACTTTGTTTCATTCAAAAAATGGCTGAAAGCCACTCAGCACTGATGCAAGGGTGCACACCTGTGTCTCCAGCACATGGGGGCCGATGGGAAAGGATCACAAGTTCAAAGGCAGCCTGGGCTGTCTTGCGAGAGCCTGTCTCAGATGATGGATGGGTGAATAGATGGATGGACAGACATGTAAATGAATTTATTCTAGCTTGCCCGTATAAAAGATAGAAAACTCTGATACTTTATTTATACACTGTAAGCCTAGATTGGGCAGGTTCTGTGCTATTTCTGCCTGTATCCAAGCCACAGGCCCTTTGTTACTCGCTGTTTTGAGTCTCGCCCAGGCTGCTCCTGCTCCCTCAACCTGTCCTCAGGGTGCACTTCTCCTGGCCAGGTGCTCCAAGCCATCTGGTCTCCTGGCAACCACCTTCTCTCTCCTGTCCTCTCTCTCCTTCTCTGTCCACCCTCTGGTCCCTACCTGCAACCGTAGCCTGGTAACCGAATACTGCTATTCTATACCACCTACCAGTAATTGTCTGTCAGCCCTTTTATTTACACAACATGAGAATGTGCTCGTCTGGACTCCAACCAGATCTTGAGGGCCAGTATTTAGCATTTGAACACCAGACCAACCCCCAACAGATAGATGGATGGATGGATGGATGGATGGATGGATGGATGGAATGGGAAAAAAAGTATAAAAGTCTGTCCAGCCATATGTTAAAAGTGGGTGTAAAGCCATGAGCCTCATGCTTAGACTTGAGTCCCATCTGTGGGAAGTCTCACTGTGTGCCGATGTGTAGCATCTGATCGGTATGGGCAAGAGAGCACTTACCTCATATCTCATGTTTCCAACTGCCCTTCAAAAAGCACACAGTGAGCATTTTTCTTGTCTTTATGTTACTTGATATCTTTTCTTTTTTTGGCTTTACTTGTAATTAGTGTGCGTGCATGCCCACACACATGGCAGGGCGCATGAGGGAAGCCAGATAGGAACAACACTGAACAAGTTCACAGACAGCCTCTGTCAGCTGCTCTAATCCTGTTCATTTTCCACATGTCCAGACAGAAGCCCTCAACCTGCAGAACTCAGGCTGGCTAGAGGGGTTTGTTGGTTGTCGGATTGGTTGGTTAGCTTGGGAGAGTGACTAAATTGTATTCATGCTATCCTTTCTCCATAAACACATGCTTCTCTCAGGGCTGACTTTCCTGAAAATGGCCTAGCTAGTGAATGGTGTACCGTGTGCAGGCCATGCTCTCTGCCTCACCGCCTCACTTTCCCAACACATCCCAAAAGCAGTAGGGAAAAAGTAATCAATGAACAGACACAGTTGTGTGCCAGTGCCTAGAATAATAAACAGACTAGATCCTGGCTCTAAAGACTGGCATCCTTTTATCCCAGGGTTGCAGTACCACTGAGATTTTGGATCACATGATTTCATGCCTGGGGATAGGAGAGAGGACTGACCTTTAAAATGAGACAGTTAGCATCACCCTTGTGCTAGACAGACACCTCCTGACTTGGTCACAACAAATATGTCTCCAGACATTGCCAGATGCTTTCCGGGAGGGCACAGCCTCTCCTAGCCAAGACCCACTTTCATTCTAAAGAAAACAGTATGAAATGGTAATTATGGTTGCCAAGGGGGGTCTGGAGCAAAAAGAGGTGGTAGAGAGGAAAAGGTAGAGTGGGAAAAGGGGCATACCAAGTGTGTGCAGGGAGAACCTTCCAGCCCTTTGACCTGAAGAAGTCCTGAAGCCAGGGACAGAGATGGGCGGTTTTATAGTGAGACTGTCATCAGCAGAGTTCGGGGGTTTTCCAGCCCAGATGGTGTGGTTAGGGGTGGGAATGGGAGGAGGCCAAAGGAGAGGCTAGACCGTGGACAAACTGGACACCCTTTGCAGTCTCCATTAGCACAGAAAGGAAACAGGACACACCATCCGAGGTTTCCTGTCCCCATCCCTCTTCCTCATAACGCTTGGAGAGATGACTGGTCACAGCAAGAAGAAGCCACCGCAAACCAGACCTGCATGCTACGGGAAACTTTGGGAAACGGGCATCTGTATCTCTAGGCACTAAGGTCGGCCCACAGGTTTCACAGACTGCTGTCTCCCTCCTTTTCAGGGTCTTCTTTAAGATCAAAAGCCGGAATGCGCACATGAAAACCCACCGGCAGCAAGAGGAGCAGCAGAGGCAGAAGGCTCAGAAGGCGGCTTTTGCAGCAGAAATGGCAGCCACCATCGAGAGGACTACGGGGCCGGTGGGGGCACCCGAGCTGCTGCCCCTGGACCAACTGAGTCTGATGAAACCAGTCAAGGACGTGGACATCCTGGATGATGATGTGGTCCAGCAGTTAGGCGTCATGGACGAGGCTGAGGTGGTAGGCACGGATCTCCTCTTGGATGACCAAGATTCAGTTTTGCTTCAGGGTGATACAGAACTCTAAACCCCCGTTAATCACCTAGAGACACAGAAGCCACGGCCTCCACCTCTGTCGTCTGCAGAAACTGGACTTCCTGCTCCTTTGGAAACCCTTTTAAACTACCTGTTTAAAAAGTGGTCCTTTTCTTCAGGTTAAGGGAGGGGAAAATCCAGTTCTTTCTCTTTTACCTTCTTTTACATTGTTTTTGTTGGGGGTTGGGGGGAATAAAAAATTGGCACAACTATCTTTAAGAGGTGTCTCATCTGGGCTATGTTCTCCTGAGGCCGTTCCCCTCGGGATGAGCTTCACCTTCGTGTTGCTTTGCTTTCAGATGTCAGCCACCCGGGTTGCCTTTTATCTCCAAACTTGCTGTGAGTGAGTGTGTGTGTGTGTGTGTGTGTGTGTGTGTGTGTGTGTGTGTGTGTGTATGTGTATGTATGTGTATGTATGTAAGTAGGTAGCAGGTTATCCCATTCATTCTGGGACTTTAGGCCATGTTTTCCCACGAAGAATTATTTTATTCTGTTCTGACCTGCCAGAAAGTTCTCTCTGTTAAATCAGAAGAATTAACACCTCTCTCTCTCTCTCTCTCTCTCTCTCTCTCTCTCTCTCTCTCCCTCCCTCCCTCCCTCTCTGTTTTCAACATGGTCCATGGCCAGTGGAGTTCTGAACTTACTTTGCACCACTTGAACGTACTGTGAAACCTCTCTCACTCTGACTTGCTCTGACGTGTGCTGGACTGAGGTTTGCCTAGATGCTAGCTGTGGAGAGATAGGGCTTTTCCAAACACATAGAGATGGCAGATACAATTTCAACTGCTTTGAAAGTCAACACAAATGTGTCCAGATTCAAGTTTGCTACAATGCTCGCATTCAAACAGTGAATGTATTTGTTCCAAGTCACTTACCAAAGCGATTCCAGACTTGTCTAAGCTACACGACTTTGCTCTGTCCCTGACAGCAGGGGACGCCATTTGTACTGAAGGCAATAAACCTGTAATCGGACAAAAATGTCATTGCCTAGGCTTTCGTTCTGAGTTGGGCTGACCCCTCCCACCACTAGTGCACAGTCAGACTGGACCACTCCCCCTGGCACAGAGGATGCCCGTCAGCCTCCCTTGATCACGGCCCATGGCCTCCAGGCCAGGTGTCTCTAGTTCCTAACCCTCCTTGAGTAGACTCCCCAGTTCTGTGTAAGTGTAGCTGTCATGCCTGGCCACTGTGCTGGCTCGTGATCAGCCTGGCATTAGAGTATCCTAGTGGAGGAGTAAGGTTGGACACCGTTCACATTGGATTCTACAAAACCATTTGGCACATACTCGGGGCCAGGGCACCGCAGCCCCCTCTCAGGCAGTGGCTTCTGAGTCTCAGGAAAGCCACAAACAGAAAACTATTTACAAAGATTCTTTTCCTGTCCATCACTGTTTTTACAACTATCTTGAGGTCCTTCTTAGATGGGGGGTGGAGGGTACATCTTCCTTGCTGTCGTTTGGAGGGTTGTCTAGCCTGTGTGTGACCTCACAAGTGTTGCTTTAAGAACTCCCTGGGCATTGTGCATGAGATTCCTTTAAAACCATTCCAGCTGCCGCTCCTCAGCAGACCCCAGGGCCCTGTCTGTCGTGGTGTCTGCTTAGCTACAGAAAAGAGCAAATGCCCAGAGAACTTGAGGAAGTTCGTGTCCTCCTCCCGCTTGGGGATTTGCCCAGTTTGAAACCTTAGAAAACAAGCTGACCTACCACCGCCGGTATCCAATGCACAGTTCATTTTGATTTGTCATGCAGAATAGCATAAGGAATATTTTGACTTGAAATAACCAAAGAACTCCTCCTTAATGAGACAGTTCAGATACCTGTGTTTGTATTTCCTGACTAACAGCTTAAAGTTTAATTGACTTCTGATTAAAATATTGCACTTTTTTTCCGGAAATGATTTTACCTGCATGTGCGTGTTGTGTTTTAGCTGCCCCTTCCCCACCCCCCCCCACCCCTCCCAGGCCCCAAAGAACTTTTCTTCCTGATGGTTAATGTCTTCACACAGTTCCCATTGACTCGTGGTTTTTCAGTGATGCATTTAGACTCCCTTTGAGAAAGCTTGTATATAAAAAGTTAACAGATATATTTTATGGAAAAACCCATCTTATTTTCAAATATATTTAACTGCTGTTATATTTTATTAGAGGAAGGTTGTACATATTTTCTAGGAGTTCTATTGTAAAGAAAAGTATTTTTGAAAAAAAATTAATGTAATAAAAAGGAAAACGTTTTTAAATAGTGGCTGTGACTGCTTCCTGCTCTGCTTCTGTTCTGCTGTGTTCTCGGCCAGTGACCTGCATGCCTTCATGTCAGGATGTAATTCAGATTTGCACTATTCCAAGTTAACATCGTAATTTCTGATGTGCTTAACTGTATGTTTCCGGAATGCGGCTCCCTCTGCACAGCCAAGTGCTGTGTGGAGTCTACTTGTGTATTTTTAATGCGTGTATTTTTAATAAGGATTTTATGTAACATTTTGGCAAAAAAAAAAAAGAAAAATGAAGAGGACAGTATTTTCTAATGAATTTTATAATAACATTTTGCTAAAAAAATGTTTCTTCCTAGGTGAGTTTTTGTTAAGGTGAATCAAACGTCTTATTTTCCAGGGATTTAAAAAAAAAAAAAAGTTTGAAGTTGGAAAGCAACGTTCTATTTAAACATCACATGTAACAAATGAATAAAGATGTTTTGTAGACCTGTCCTTCAGAGGTCCATTGCTTAAATTATGATGAGGATGATGATGGTGGTGGTGGTGGTGGTGATGATCTGGGGCATCCTAGGCTGTCTCTCATCCCAAAATGTTCTGTGTCATGCTGTTTTGGATTTGTGTTGTTGTTGTTGTTGTTGTCTGAATGCTCATAAGACTTTTTCAGCTGAGAACCGGAGAATATTAAGGACAGGCCAGCCAATCAGCCTTCTGAGAAACTGCCGGTCCCCACAGGTGGCCACTCCTCCACTAGAGGTGTAATGATCCAATACAGTCTCCATGTTACCTTAGCTGTCCTGAATAAACCATTGTCTTTATGGGTCTCTCTCGGCTCACACAGTCCTTCTTTTGGCCACGGACAATTCCTGATGGCATGGTCCTTTATCCTGCCAGTTCTGTGGACAGTGGGTTTAGACATGCTGGTCAGATCCTGTCCCATTAAAGTGTTCCTCCTGCCTGGAGAAACCAGGAAAAGTACTTACATCTTGGCTCCTCAAATGATAGACCAGCCACTTGAAGACATGGCATTCCCCAAACTGTGCCACCCAGGAAGTCTTTGATCTTGGAAAGCAGAAGCAGGCAGAGCACTCAGAGCTGAAGGCCCTGCTGGTCTGCAAAGCAAATTCCAGGTCAACCAGGGCGACCCAGCGGGACCCTTCATACCCAACCCTGCAAGGCATCTTACTGTTAAGTCCTCAACAACAGCTGTGTTCACCCTGGTTTATTTGCATTTTAATACCAATTTCTAAAATTTATATGCATTTGCTTTTTAGCAGTCAGAAATAAATTTGGGAAGAAATTTGAAATTTTATGTTTTATGCGGTTTGCCCTGAGTAAGGCTTTCTCCTTCAGCACCTTGGTTGACTGAGCCCCTTTTGGGAACTTTAATTTTAGTCATTCTTTTAGCTATTTAAGCTATCAAAATAGCTACCCATGATGCAGTACACATACAGCCAGGGTTGTAAACTGCGTCTGTTTTTAAGAGGCACAGTTCCAGGCCCCTAAAAGGGGCACTACTGCACCCCTTCATTCAGTCCTCCATTCAGTCAGTCCTCCATTCATTCAGTCCTCATGAGCCACCCTACACTTGACACTTTCAATACTGTATGTATTCAGTGATGGCTGCACCAATTGCCTCCCTAAAGAATTGGGTACTGAACAAAAGCAGACCAGGGGCTAGCCCACTTTGCCATCCAAAGAGCAAAATTTAGACTTTATTAACACAAAGAACATCTCCATGTACACCCCTGGGGAAATATTTAATGCACAGCCAGACTCTGCAGTCATCTGTTAAGGTCTCTCTGTTCACCCAGGTCCACTCTATGGAAGAAAGCACTCATTCTCTTGAGACTGAAAGCCGAATCCTGAATTCTGCACATCTGTCTGCCCCAGGTACAGCCAGTCAGCCGAGAGGTACGTTCTAGGAAACTGGGTAGATTTTTAATCAAAACATAATTCAGATGGCATTTTAAGAAATTGAACAAGAGAGGTGGAAATGATCTGTGAACCACAAATATCTCTACATAAAAGAACTGTAAGAGATTATTTTGGGAAAAATAAAATTAATAATTCTTAACAACAGCCATAACAAAAAAAAGCTATAGAGGGGTAAATTGCTTCCTATATGCAAACACAGGCATGATGGTACTAGCCTATGAGCCTAGTTCCTGGGTGATGAAAACATTAGGGTCAGGAGTTCAAGACCAACCTTGGCTACACAGCAAGTTCTAGGCCAGCTGAGCTACACAAGACTCTATCTCAAAACAGATGGTAAAATGGCTCAGCAGAGAGAGAGATGGCAGGCCTGAGTTGGATCCGTGGATCCTACAAAGAAGGAGGAGAGAATCAACTTTTGAGAATTATACTCTGACCTCCACATGACACTCAGGACACACACAGAGTGAATACATGCATGCATGTATACATACATACATACATACATACATACATACAGTGAATACATACATATACACATACATGCATGCATGCATAAAGAGAAAAACCAAGTCTTTTGAAGAGGGTTCTCTTTAAAAACAACAATTGAAGCCAGGCCTGGTGGCACACACCTTGATCCCAGCACTCGGGAGACAGAAGCAGGAAGATCTCTGTGAGTTCAAGGTCAGCCTGGTTTACAGAGCAAGTTCTAAGAATCTGTACAGTCAAAATAGGATTCAACCTAGATTGACTTCCACCTGTTTTCTGGGCCTAAAGCAAGGTTCTCTTGCAGGAACTTTCTAGAACCACTCCTCTCAGTGGAGTCAGATATTTGAAAGTTTGGGCTGTGAGTAAAGGGAACTGTGATAACGGCCCAGGGTCAGAACATTGCTGGTGCCACACAGCATGCCCCAAGGTTCTTGTCTATACCTGGAGTTTCCAGACTCTCCTGCTGCCTGTGGCCTAAAGAAACCAACAAGCAGAGACAGGAATCGGATCTTTAAAGCTGGGCTTCATTTACAGAGCTGTCAAATGGAAGAGCCTGTGGACCTAAAAACCTAAGCCAAGCTTCATCCCTTAGCCGACCATATGGGAGGACACAGACCTTCTGTCAAGCAGAGGTCAGCCCCGGCCACACCCACCCTGCTCTGGACAGTGATCGGTCAGGTCTCTGAGACTTGGGGTGTCTATACCTCTCTCATGATCAACCTGTCCATTCCTCCCTCATTTCATGGACCTTTGGCTCCAAACACTTCTCAAAACCCTGCATGTAGAGCCCACCAAGATGACTGGAAAGTAAAGGAGACCCGAGTTCAATTCCCCAGGACCCATATGGCAGAAGGAGAGAACCACTTCTAAATGTTTTTCTGTCCTCTGACTTCCACACATACACATAAAATTAATAAATAAAATATGCTGGGGGGGGGGAGGGAAAACATCAATCTAGTTAGTGTCTGCCAGTATCAAAACTCCTCCAGGAACATCAGGTCTGGGAGGAGGAGTTACTTAACTGTGGCCAGTGTGTGTGTGCTAAGCCGAGAATGTTGGGTGTGTGCTGACTCCTTTTTGCAACATGCAGTACAAGTTCTGTGTATGACACAGAATATGAATGTGGCTGACCTCTACTCTGGCAAAACCTGCCTTTTTCCTTTAGGGTGTGTGCTGGATAGCTTTATGTCAACTTGACACAAGCTACCATTGTGATGGCTATTCCTGGCTATCAACTTGACTTCATCTGGAATGAACTACAGAAATGGAGGGCCAGATCTTGAGGCTGGAAGACATGGGCTTCTGACCCGGATCTTGACATGGAGAGCTTGAGCCATAGTAGCTGTGAAACACTTAGGCCCAGGCAAGGTAGTACACTCCTTTAATCCCAGGAAACAGGCAAGCAGATTTCTGAGTTCAAGGCGAGCCTGGGACAGAGCAAGTTCCAAGTAAAGAACTACTTAGGTCTAGGGGGAGGGGTGGTGCACACCTTTAATCTGGACCAAACCTGCTGCTGGAGGCCTGCGTAAGGACATTGGAAGAAGAAAGACTCACTCTTCTCCTGCTTGCACTTCCTTGCCAGCACATCTCTTGGAACCTACTTCCTCAGGATTCCAGTTTATATAGAAGACCAGCTGAGACACCCAGCCTTGTGAGACTGAGCGACAACTAGATTCTCGGACATCCCATTCACAACTGACCATTGTTGTGTCAGTTGAGCTACAGACTGTAAGTCATTCCAATAAATTCCCTTAATATAGAGACCTTCCATACGTTCTCGACTCTAGGGAACCCCGACTAATACAAGGGAGGAAGAGGGAGAAGAAGGAGCCTCAATTTAGAAAATGCCTCCATTTGGATTGGGCTGTAGGCAAGCCTGTAAGGCATTTTTTTAATTAGTGATCAGTGGGGCAGGGCCCAGAACATTGTGGGTGGAGCCACCCCTGGGCTGGGGGTCCTGGGTTCTAGAAGAAAGCAGGTTGAAGAACAAGCTGGTATGCATGCATCCCACTAAGGCATCTGGCATCTGCATCAGCTCCTGACTCCCAAGTTCTGCCCTGCTTGAGTTCCTGCCCTGACTTCCTTTAATGATCAACTATGACCCGGAAGTGTAAGCTGAATAAACTCTTTTTTGACAGAGTTGCTCTGACCATGGTGTTCATCACAGCAATAGAAACCCTGAGACCCTAACTTCTGCACTCACCCCTGAGGCATTACACTGACATGTAGTTTTACGACTCATAGGAGAGGAAATCGAGGGGTTCTCAGAAAACCACCACATTCGAGCATAGTCATGGAGAAACCTGGGGAAGCAAAGGCAGCTCCGGTGCCCACATACAGTCCTGATAGAGCTGAGAGAATCTACCAAGACAAAGGCCAAGGCCCCCAGGGAGTGCACATCTAGTCATTGGGGCTGCTTAGAGCACACCTCTCTGGTTCAAGTCAGCAGAGCATGCTACTAAGTCAATAAAAACAAGTCAATAAAACTTTCTTTGTGAAGTGGGGTGGCCAGGAGGGGACCTTTGGTCTTCTCATCCAAAAGAGACATCGAGGACTGGAGAGATGGCTCAGTGGTTAAGAGCACTGACTGCTCTTCCAGAGGTTCTGAGTTCAATTCCCAGCAACTACATGGTGGCTCACAACCACCTGTAATGGGATCTGATGACCTCTCCTGGTGTGTCTGAAGAAAGCAACAGTGTACTCATCATATATATAAAATAAAATAAAAAGAGACATCGAGCACTGAACATTGTCATAGACAGAACCAGCCCATTACACCCTTGAGCTAGGTTTGTGAGGGTGGTTATGGGTTCAGCTGGAACTCACCATATGACCTTGGCCAAGTCAACTTGACTCTGAACCTCACCTTAGAATTAGGATACAATTATTTCCATGCATGAGATTAGGCAGTCTAAGTGAGAGTCATTTCCTAGCTGTACTGCCACCATCTTTACAGGTGCAGCAGACTCACTGAGCTGAGACACTCAGAAGGACAGGAGGCTGGGTGAGGAGCCATTGTCAAGGTACCATGTGGAGAGATAGATGCAATGTTTGGAAGTAGCAAAGAGATGAAGGCCGGGGTACTGTCAGGACAGACCACCGGCTGAGAGGGACCCTGAACGTCACGGTTTAGAGAGCCTGATTCTGAGGAAGCCTCTGGGTTGCCTGCGCAGCTAGTGCATAGCCAAGACCAACCACATACTAATGAAGATTCTGTTTCCATATAGAGACCACATAGAGGCCAGCCCAAGGGGCAGGAAAGTGGTCCATACTCACAGATCCCTCATGAGTTTGTGCCGTCTGGACCAAACCCCCTTTGCTTAGTTCTCTGGCCTGCCAAATAAGACAACTAAAGCCTACTGTGGAACACCCAGCTTTACATTGGCGCAATGCTTTACTGAGATACTGTATTGGCTGGTTTTGTGTGTGAACTTGACGCAAGCAGGAGTCATCAGAGAGGAAGGCACCTCAGTTGAAGACTTGTCTGCATGAAATCCAACTGTAAGGCGTTTTCTTAATTGGTGATTGGTGATCTGTGGGGGAGGGCCCACTCTGGGTGCTGCCATCCCTGGGCTGGTAGTCCTGGGTTCTATAAGAAGGCCGATTGAGCAAGCCATAGGAAACAAGCCAGTAGGCAGGACCAACCCCCACCTCATGGCCTCTGCATCAGCTTCTGCCTCCAGGTTCCAGCCCTGCTTGAGTTCCTGTCCTGACTTCCACCAATGATGGACTATGATCTGGAAGTGTAAACCAAAAGACCCCCCCCCCCTTGCTTTTTGGTCATGGTGTTTTGTCACAGCAATAGAAATTCTTACAAAAACTTTTGTATCGTTCTCATTAAGTTGATCTTTATTCATTTTCCCAACAATCTCTCCCCCACCCCACCCCCCACCCCGGTT